GATGCTCCATTTGCCCCACCATTGCAGCATTCATGAGCTGCCTGCTACCTTGAGGTACGTAGAAAAAACATTTAAAGCTGTGTCTATATCCAAATCGCTGAATCTTTCTGAATCTCTCTGAATTGATTCAGAGGGTTCAGCCACCAAATCTAGTCAAATCTCCATTGAATTGAATCAGGGACCGAAGCTTCGCACAGCCCTACTGTCTAAGCATCTTACATAGAAGATAATGATCATTCATGGCCTCTGGGAATACAATGGAGGAGGTACTTTTTAGGGCTCTCCTACCTCATAAGAGACTTTTGTAAAAAAAAGAGATGAAATAGCTCATAGAAATGAAATAAATTGCAAACAAATGGACTATTTCAATTCAACTGAGCAAGAATTTTTTCAGCTATCTGGTAAGAAGAAATAAAGGGTCTCTCCTTAGAATCTGAAGCTGGTAAAAGGTAAATAAATAAATACAAGGAAATACAGCTTTGCACAGTGCACAGTCATCCAGTGGGGTTCATTGCCAAAGTAAACTAAAAGTCAAATCATGCTGTTTGTTAAAAGAGGGTAGGCTTATTCTATAGCTTTTCAGCATGTGTAACTGCACAGAGTGAGATAAGGAGACACTGAACCTCTTGATTAAAGAAACAGCTGCTTGTCTGCATGGCCAAGAATTAATTTCTCTCCCATGCCCATAGTGAACAGTGCTTAAGTGTACGATGAGAGTTTTTTAGGTTCCCCCTGAAGAACTGTGTACCTGTTACTGGCAAAGACAGGGTAACAGGCTTGATGGAGTGATGATTTGATCCAAAAGGGCATATTCTATATCTTTATTATTAGCTTGGCTATAGACTGTTAACTTTAATTATTAGTATCTTGAATCAATAACAAGATTTTCTTTAAAAAATATATGACATGGAAAACATTCTTGTGCCTGGTCTTTTGATTCTATACAATAGTTTCTTTTCCTCTCAAATGGGAGATTGGGAATTGTTGAAGAATGGAGGATATCTGACATCTAAAAGTCAAATTCAAGAAGTCTTTGCTGCCCCTCCCTTATGAGCAGTGATATAAAACTTTAACTGTTCACTTTCATGTGAAATAGGGTCTGCCTGTCTCACTTTGTGCTGTAGCCTGTACCCTGGGGAAAGTAGATGCAGAAAAGCTTTTGCTGCCACCATTGTGTATCTGGGCAACGGTGGGCCACAATAAAGCTCTAGTACTTCTTGGAGCATTTAAAGTAGTTGCTCAGATATCATGGAGTATTCTACTTTTCCATGGCTACTCAGATTGGAAGCATGGGCTGAGCTTTGGCTCTTCTGTGTACCTGGTTGAAATACTTATTTCTACACAACACAGAGAACAGTAGGATATGGTCTCTAGCATGCTCTGAATCTCACTCTCCAAGGTCAGATATTCCTATAAAAATGGCCAGATTGTTTTTCCTTGAAGTGAATGACTAGTGCCTCCTGAGGCTGGGGGGAAATCCTGACAGCATAAATGAAGGCATGGACTTGTCCATTTGTCTGTCTGCCAGGAGGACTTTTCAATATTTGAAGATTTACTTTGATCCAGAAATTGAAAATTTGTCTGAGTTAGATTACTCTCATGGGTGTATTTGAGAAATAAGTATAAGCAAGTCCTGAAAGATTTTTGAAGAAAGTAATTGCCCCTTAGTGGAACAATGATAGATAGATCTGATGTACTGACTTTCAGCATTACTTCAAGGTTGTGGGCGGGTAGTGGGACAGTCTTTAAGTTCAAGGAGTGAAGAACATAAGAAGTGCTATACGAGGTCAGATCTGTGGTCCATCTTGCCCAGTAACTTATTATGACAGCAGCAAGTATTAGATGCTTTAGGGAGAGAGTATTTGAACAGGTTATATCTAATATAATCCACCTCCTGTCAAATCCTCCCATAAACTATAATTGATTTAAAGATGTCAGAGAATACATCCCTATCTGTTATAATTAAGAGCTTTCAATGGACCTCTTCTCCCTAGCTGGGTGATGGCCAATGGAGTCCTTGGCATCTGCAGCAGGTTGATGAAATGTTGGCCAATTTGCAGTTGGCTGAACCATGAGTTTCTGGGATTTGCATTTTTTTTTTGCCTTCTGATTAGTTGGTTTTCTTGGCTGTTCCTTTGCTTATGTATATATTTCCCTCCCTAGTTCCTGTACTTTTGTTGTTTCCCTTGGTGATTTGATGCTGCTGTTACCCACTGATGATTTTGTTTTTTTTGCTCAAGCACGCAGTGAGGTGAATTACCATATTTACTCAAAATCAAGATGACCCCTTCCCCTCCCCTCCCATTTAACATGGCGGGGGGGGAAGCCCCTTGTCCTAGATTTGAGTATGAAGCTGGGGGTTGGGGGGTGAAGGCAGATGGCTCCTGGGCCCTAGCCCCAACCCAGGGTTGGAGCTGAAGCTGCAGCTGCTGCCTACTCCCCTGTCAACTCTGCTCCCTGGGCCTCTGCAGCCTTTACCCTCTCCACTGCCTCTTTCTCCATCTCCCTCCACCCCAGCCTCTGCCCTCCACCTGCCCAACTCCTCAACCCCTACTTTGCTGCTTACCCTTACTCCTGCTCTGGCTCCAGCTCTAGTTCTGGTAGGCTCCATCCTCATTGCTGCCTGGGGCATGGAGCATGTGTTTGTTTTGGCCCCATAGCTTGGGCCAGGCCTTATAGCTGGGGCCAGAGCTGCCATGTTGTCACCAGTGGTAAGGGCTGAGCTGGGGCTGGAGTAAACACATGCTCCATGCCCCTGCCAGACCAAGAATAAGCAGTGGCAGAAGCAGGGGGAGATGGGAGAGGAAGGGGAAAGGGGACCTGAGGCTCTGGGAGCATGGGCAGGGGGGCTAGAGGTAGGGAGAGCAGGCATGGGGGTGGGGCAAGCAGATGAGGGAAGGCAGGTGGCAGCGGGCAAGGGGCAGAGGTCAAGCCCCACTGCCTGCCCCCTACTGCCTTCCTACCTTCTGCCTTCTATTGCTTGTCTACCCTCTGCCCCCCCTGCCATTGCTTTCCATGCGTCAGCAGTGGGGGGACAAATTTAAGACAACCCTCCACTAATTAGATTCTGTACATGGAAAATGATAACACATGTATAAGTTTTTCCCGTATATATTATCTAATTATAGGAAGGTCATCTTCAATTCAGGGTTGTCTTGGATTTGGCTAAATATGGTAATATTTGTGAGAGAAGAACAGGTTGTGGGGGGGCGGGGGACTCCCAAAAGCAAACTATTGCCTTAAGACTTAAAGGAAGATCCTTGCTGATCCTGCCAAATTTCTCTGTTATTTGACTGTTTTTCTGTGAACAATAGATGAGTCTGAGCCCTAATATTAGGTTATGCACACGTGTATGTATTAGATTATGTATTAGATTATGTATTAGATTATGCACACGTGTATGTACGGAGTAGTGAAGGTCAAAACTGAACTTGCCTTCTCAATTGGACTCTTTTTGGACAAATAGAATCTCTAGAGCTATACTCTTGGAAAAGCATTTGTTTTTACTTTGTTTGATCCGTATACACACTGCATAGTTCTATTTGGAATGTTAACAGAAGTCATTCTTGTGATTATTGATTTGCAAGTTAGACTCCCACTTTTCCTCTCACTTCTTTCTCCTAAAACTGCTCTTGATGTGCTGAGTAGCCTGTCAAAATCAGAGCTGTCTGCATGATCTAATCATCCAAGGACATGTGTGTATTGCAGGACCTCTCTAAGTCTCATCAGTCAAATACTGATATTTGCCCTCTTTTTAACACAGACCATGACTCTGCCCTTTCCCTGAAAACAGCCCAAGCACCTAAATCCTGTATAAGGCACTTGAGCTATCGAGTCTCTGCTAGCACTTACTACCTCCAAAAGTGTGATTCTGTATGAAATATAACCTATTACTTACAATTTGGGGTTTTTCTTTTTCCCAGACCAGAAGGAGCAATAATTCTCTTGACCAAAGTATAACATATAATTTTCTGTCAGATGTCTGTGTATAGTAGTAACAAATGAACCTGTACTAGATTACTATAAGTAGTTTAGCAATGATAACAGTAGCTTGATATTAATTGGCATTTTTCATCGTATTAACAAAGATTCTATTATAGGCATGGTAAATGAAAGTGTGCTGTTCAAGAACCTCCAATTTATTCCCAAAACTTTTTTTCTTTTTTGTGGTTTGGCTCACACCCCAAGTCTCCTCTTTGGTACTGCATTTGCCCCCTCACTTATTACCATTATGGACTGTGGAAACAAGACTGAGCTGCCCTGTAATTTGCAGCACTGAGAACAGTGCAGATTAAGCTGACGGTGTGATATATTATATTATTTCTCCATCATTTTTTCAGAGCATCAAGTTAACAGGACTAATGCAGACTGGCATGTGCGTTGTGGCAGCCATCACTTGCTCTGAAGAGAGAGATAATATAATTGCTGTAGGCTGTGGTGGAGTTGGGGGTGAGGAAAACAGGGAGAGGTGAAGGCAGAGAAGATTTCGCTATTATGAAGAATATACATTTTAATTAGGTGTTATTGATCTTGATTCCCATAAGTTGTTGTTAAAGTGTGTCATAGACTTTTATAGCTAATTAGCTGAAAGATAAGATGCAGATGTATTAAAAAGATGCACATTACTTGTATATATTTATTTCCTCTTTGGGAGCTGCTAAATAGGCTGTGGTTGAATTTTTTTTCTCTAAATTGGTACAGTTGAAACAGAAAAGGGCAAAGAAACAGATTTTCTGTGTCTTTGCCTTTTTTTTTTCCTCAGAAATTCATAATGGACTCTAACACGAAAAACAGATCTGTTTACAAGTTACTCTTGTAAATGCATGGGGCAATTAACTAGAAGTAATACCAACATCAGTTTACTAGATTGTTTCCACATGCACAGAGCACCTGAAATATACCTTTTGTTTTTTCACCCTAAACAAATGCTGTAATGTTGTCTTAGTCTGTTTTTTTGTCCCCCAAGAGACTAATTCATTTTTCTCTTAATAAAACAATAGAGATCTAAATGGATGAGAGAGAGGCTTATACAGTCAGAAGCTCTCATACTTCAGCTAGAAGGAAAGCTCTATACAATGAATGGTGGGGACCCAGAATTAATGGCAAAAGTTCAGAAGATTCAAGAAACCAATGAGGCTGAGGTGAAACAAATCCAAGAGGAAACAGCAGCAGCCTACCATCAAAATGTAAGCCTATAATGTACAACATGTGCTCCCTCTTTCATTTGTCTACTTTACAAGAGTTAATATCCAGTATCTGAAAGGTTCACAAAGGAGGGGCTTTTTTCCTTCTAGGCTATTAAGCTACAGTAACAGCTTATTAAAAAAAAGAATTTCTCCTAACTGGAAAAAAGTGGTCTTGATTGGGGGTTGTGGTAGATGGAAAGTACATGAATAAAGGAGAAATTTGAGTGTTCTGGTTAAACTAACATAGCAATACAATGCCAGAGGAAATAAGTTAGACCAGGACAATCTTGATTTATTTTGTTGTAAGATAATGAAGATGGTGAAATCCTGGCTAAACTGAAAAACAAGGATTTAACATAGAGCATAAATATAATGGAATGGACTCCATAATCAAGAGGTGATGGGAATTTTAAAAGGTATAAAGAGCTGTTAAGTACCTGCTGGATGTCTAACTCCTATTCATCTAAAACCCAATCACTGTGTCAAATTTATAAAATACCTTCCAAGGTTGACTTGAAAAACTTCTCCAGGTTTCTTCCACAAAACCAAAAGGTGCTTTTGTACCTGACCAACTGTTTGGCACCTAGAGAAGCTCCCTGATTCTTCACAGTGCATCAAGATTTCATACAGTTTACTTAAAGCTGCTCTAAGTTGTTCCAACTGCAGACAGCGCTGAGGGCCATTTCAGTAACTGGGATCAAGACTCTTTTACTTGGTCTTGATCCCTATAGCTAGGGCTTATGAGGGTGTGTGGGTAGCAGCATAGCTGGCTTTACACCCCTTACCTCTGTCCCTTTACACCCCTAGGACAGAAAGATCTGTTGATGAATAATGTAAGTAGATGTAGCGGGGCTGAAGATCTGGCATTGGCCTCTGGGATATGTGACTTGCACAGATTTCTCTTGTGGAAAAATGTTTTACTATTTACTGTTGCTTGTGAATATCTCCTAAGTGGCATAGCCTGGGAATTCCAAATTTCTTGTACATTCTTGGAATAGATCTTCTGAGATAGACTGGTTGGGAACTGTGCAGAGTCAGGGCTTGATGAGCCCATAGTTGGTTTAGTTCAGCTATTCCTTAAAAGCACCCTCATGAGTGAGATGATTATTTAATCTCATTTTTTGTAGCTCCAGTGGTGACTATTCTATTCTACCTCCTCTTTGGGAGTTCATTTTTTTTCAGTGCTGCATCATCATCTTGTAAAGCTTAACTAATGTATAGCAGAAATTCATTGGCCCTTATACTCACTTTCTGCATGTGAATAACTGTTCATTTCTTCCAATATTTTGAGACTGTTACCGTATTTTCTTCCATACAATATGCCCCCCAGATAAAACATGCATCTTGTTTTTTAGAACACAAAATGTAGAAAAAAATATTTTTCCAGAGTCATGACTGACTCTGTGACATAGATCAAGTCCTCTGAGGAAGTGTCCAGAAAGTGTGGCATCCCAGTAGATGGTCTGGGTGAGGTAGCAAGCAGCAAGAACTTCTTGGTGTCAGCTAGCTCACTCAGAGAGTCTCTTGGGATGCCATACCTCCTAGATTCTGCATGTTTCCTGAAGGACTTACTCTATCATGAATGGTTAGGCCCCAGACCTTTACAAGGGCAACAGCAAGACTGTTAGCTCCTTATTGTAAGTAGTTCTGTATATAAGTTCCTGTAAATAAAGTGTTGTTTACTCTAACAGGGCACCCCAACATTTTTTTTGTAATATCATGTTCTAGGGGCAGCCCACCCTGTTCTCGCCTGCCATCCCTTGATGTTAATTAATATATATATTGTGGGGGGCTACCCTGACCTTACTATAACGACCACCCAATGTGTGGTCCTTTCCTTATGGGCCAATCACATGGCTCCATACCTCTCCTACACCATGTCCCATGCCTCACAGATGGCATTCTTACAGATGGCCTATCTGTTGCTGATATAGCCCCTCACTGGACCTGCCAATGCCTTGGCCTCTCTCAGCCCCACTCTGGGCCCACTTCAGACCCCTTGGTCTCTCTCTCAGCCTCATTCAGATTGCCAGACCCCTCAGTCTCTCCTCTGGCCCCTCTCTGGGCCCTCAGACCTCTTGGTCTCTCACAGAACCACTCACTGGGCTGTAGGCTCCTTGGTCTCTTTCTCAGCCTCTCTCCCAGCTGTCAGCTCCCATCTTGTTCTCTTGTCTTAGACCCTGTTAATTCTTCATTCTCCAAGCTGCTCTCTAGGCCTCAGACCCAGCCAGCCCTACACTTTGCTCGCTGGCCCCTAACTGGGCCACATTATATCTGGGCCTCTCTTCACTCAGTCCTCAGGCCCCTCACTGGGCCTCTGGATCCACATGGTCCCAATCTTCCTGGCAAGTGCTTTTCTGTAGGGTTTGCTCCCTTAGCCTTCCCCCTCCCTGGGATAACCCACAAGGTAGTGGGAGCTGAGGTTTTCTGGTGTCCCATCCTCTCCTTTCCCTCAGTGGCCCATGTGCAGCATTTCATGGAGGCTACCCCACCACAGGCATCCCCACCACACTAACCAACTCCAGTAGGGTGCAGTTTTAGGTCTTAGAATGGAGCAACTCGGAAGGAAGCGTGGCGCCCGCCTGCCATTGGCTGGGCACAGAGCACGCCCCCCCGGCCCTTCGGAGAATGCGGGGGAATTCTCCACCTACCTATCCTCAAGCCTAACCTGATCTTACATCTCCCTGTCTCTGGGCTCCCCCTTAGATGTCCTGTGCTGCTCCTGGGCTGCTAACCACCAGCCCCCCTGGCCCTGCCTCCATCTCTACTCTACATCCTCCATCTCTTGGAACCCTGTCCTTGATCCCTTCTTCTCAGATGGCCAAGCACCAGACATCGTCATCCTGGGCTGCACCCCCCTTGACCTCTTCCTTTCAGCTGTGGCCATACAAGGACCTTTGGCCTCTCCTAGACCCTGGTCCTGCCTCAGGCCAGTTGAGAACTCTAGGCTCTCCCGGCTCTGGCAGTTTCTGCCATGGTGTGTTTTATCCTTCAGCCCCTCCTGGGCCCTGGCAACACACAGGCCAAGGTCAGTCCTCCAGCTGCTAGCCCTCTACTCTCTGTGGGTCTGCCCTCTTGGGCTACTCCATAGATTACTTTTTCTCTCTGGGCTCGGAGCCCTCCCTAAGTCTTCCTGTGCAGCTCCTCCTTCTCTGGGACTCATTTGGACCCCTCAATAGATCCCACACTCTGCCCCACTCACTGGCTTCACCCAGACCCTTAACTAGGTCCCCTAAACAATTGGCCTCTCTCTCAGGGCTCACCTGGCCCCTCAGTAGGCCTACAGACTCTCAGCTCCTCTTCCAGGGCTGGCCTGGCCTCTCCTGAGGCCCCTGTGCACAAAACCCCTCAGTCTGGGCTGGCCTGGCCTCTCACTAGGCTCCTGGCACTCAGCCCCCTTCTCAGGGCTCATCTGGCCTCTCCCTATGCCCAGGCACATGTCCTCTCTGCTGCACAGCTCAGTCTGGTGGGGGATGCAGTGGGGACTCTGGCTCCCTTGATCAGCTCCCTGCCCCTGCCACATCCTCCCTGCCACATGGGTTGGCTTGGCTCCTGGGTCAGCTGACTCTAATTAGGCCTGACCCCCCCTGCAGGTCACTCGGAAGACTGCCTGACCTCTTAAAGTAGCTGGCACATCAAGTGCCCTGCCACATTTCCACATTACAAGCTTCATCAAGATATTACCGGTAGGTCGCTCGCTGCTTCCGGTACAAGCTACAGTGCTCAACCAATAGTTATGCCTGTGAGAAGTTTATTAACTCAGACTCTGCCTCTTCAGCTGTCTGAGCAAGACACAAGCAACAGCCACCATAGCAGCTGTGTAGTACGCACAGTGTCTCCAGCAGTGCTGCATTTCCAGTGGAAAAAACCCCAGCTTCTCTGATTAACATACACACATGAAATTGCAGTGGGGGGGAGGTTGATTTGGGGTCAAAAGTGTGTGTTGTAGCTTTAAATCCCTTCTCTAGCTTAAAATCCCTTTCTCCCACTTTTCCCAGTCATGTTATCAATTGTATTTGAGAGCTTTCTGTGTCTCTCCAGTGCCACTATCAAAACTGGGCTTCAACCAGGACTGGTGTATTTTCAGGACCTGTTTACTTTCCTATCTGGCACTTTTTGTGAACTTGCCAATGACATACTTTGAATGTGAAGTGTTTTGTCTTTTTACTCTCAGTTAGCAATGGTATCATGGTAAGGACAAGCAATCCATGTTGTGCAAATAGATTGACAACAAAGAGGCTTGTCTCTCTCAGTACCTATATCTCACTCTCACCAGAACTAGAATCCTCTTCGCTGTGCTCTGCCACAAACTATTGCTTATATAATTTGAATTTCAGAACAAGAAATGTATCTGGACAACGTGCTGTCAGGGAAGCAAAGCTCATTATCTGCACTGAGCCCCCTCCTTTTGCTCCCTGAGGCTAATTGTGTTTAGAAAATATCACATTGCAAATTTTTCTTGCCAAACAGCCTCTTTACTGAAAACTGAAGCAAAAACACATTCATCAAAAGCTGAAAAAGTAACATAACAGTTATCAGGGCAGGGTCAAATTCATAAGGAGCATAATAAAAGAAGTTGGCTGGGCCACTTACGCGACGGACTGAAAAATATGTCTTTGAGGGATGTTTGTCAGAAATCTATAATTCTTCTATAAACTGCTAAGTGAAATGGAGCTAATCTTGTTAATAAAAGTACAAACTGTGCTTTGCTTTTCCAAAATATAGAATTTCCACAAACTATGTTATGTTTTTAGATAGGTTTCCTTTGTCATTCTCTTGCCTGAATGTTCATTCCATTATACATAACAGCAGATTAGTAGAACATCAATACTGTTAGCAAACAAGCCTTTCCTTTGAGAAGAAATATAGTTTATTTTTTATTTTAAAATTTCTCTGACTGAATGTTTTTATTCTTTTCAATAGACAAAGTATCTGATTAATAGGCAACAGTATAACATCTGCCTTAGCTTTTTCA